CTGACCTTTGGTGTAGAGCTTAGATAGAGTTATTACCTTAGCACTAGGTCCGGATCTATGAAGTTCAGAATCCTCCAGGTGGGTGTTGTTTGGATCTGGCTGCTGTGCTCCACTTCTTTCTGCTGCAGGTGTTAGAGTGGAACCCTTTGTGTCTGTCTGGGAAGATGTTATGCTCCTGAATGAGCTGGGTGGTTCTTGCCTCTAGCCTCTTTGCAGTGAGTTCTGCTGAAGGGTTCAGTGCTAGGCCTGCGCTCTGGGTCTATTCAGGATCCCACCAGGCCCCAGGTCGTTTCACTCAGTGACCTGGCCTGCGCTCTGAGTCTGTTCAGGATCCCACGGCCTGGGTCGTCTCACTCACTGGCCCGGCCTGCGCTCTGGGTCTGTTCAGGATCCTGCGGCCTGGGTTGTCTCACTCACTCACCGGGCCTGTGCTCTGGGTCTGTTCAGGATCCCGCGGCCTGGGTCGTCTCACTCACTCGCCGGGCCTGCGCTCTGGGTCAGTTCAGGATCCCGCGGCCTGGGTCGTCTCCTTAAAAATATTTTTTAAATTTGTTTTCTACATCTACAAATGGTGCACATTTGTAATTTCCAGAACCATTCATGAATACTTGTGGTTCACCTGCAAAGTTATGTTAATAACAGAGTCATAGTAAAATATTTAAAAATATTGCTATCATTTTTTAATTTCTTTATTTTAATGTATGTATTTGGTACAGCATCTTGATATGCAGCTCAGACTCATAGTTGTACTTCTGTTTGTCCTCGCCAGAACTGGGATTACAAGTTTGTGCCACCATGCCTGGTCTTGGCGGCCAGCCTTGGCGTACCTGGGACAGAGCTGACTTGGCATGTGGTACGGGGGATTGACCTGGGTCCTGTGCTTGCCAGGCAGGCACTTAGATCACTGAGCTATCTCCCTAGCTCTTCTATAATTGAAAATTTATACCATTTAGAACAATATACACAGTCTTGGGTTCAAGATCCTGGATTGTCACTTATTTGCTTAACAGTATTGAGTGGTGCTGAAAATTGGCTAGGTTATCTTTTTATTATATTTTATTTTAAAATGTACATCTGATAATGCTCTGCATTACTTCTTTACAGTTAAGATAATTTAAGATTTCTTTTTCACATGTGCATGTACATAACACACACTAGATAGTGGCAATTATTGCTAGTGTTTAGTTCTCCATAATTTAGAAAATTACACAACTTGTGTTTTGTTTAAATGTTATGAATTTATAATTTTATGTGAAATCAGATATCCCATTTTATACAATCTGTGTACAACAAACTAGTTGTTTTAAACTTCACAGAAGATTTTATAATGCTTTCTAAAAATAAATTTCTTTGCAGTAGAGTGAGGAGCTTAGTACTGACTGTGTCATATTCCTCAATGATATCTAAAATATTTTTTTCATGCTGTTTTGAGGGTTGTTTCCTTTTCTTGGTATGATCCAGCACACAAATAATGAACATTCATTTACATGCTGGAGAAAAGGAATTATAAAATATATCATGATGTGTTCTCTTCACTTTCATTTTATTTAAACATTGCCCTTCCATTGGTCCCATGAAGCCCTTGGGGGGCTTTACCTACAACTTGAAAATACTGTTCTAAAGTATAAATAACAAAATGAAGCTCAGAATTGGTGAAATATAATATATAATTGATTTATGAATTAATTTTGCTGACTAGCATTTCAATCTTCATATAAATGTTTTAAAGCTATTTCAAAACCACCTGATATCAAGTGAGTTTGGAATTACTTTACCTGGAGTACATGTAATAATACAATGGTTTATTTTCTGTATGTTTTCAAAGCACGCTTTGATGCAACACAGAAGTACTTTTCTCTTTTCTCTCCTGACAGATTGGCTATTTGATCTTCTTACGGCTTTTTATATTTTTTCTGCACGGTCAACTACGGAGTTTTAAAGAACATTTACTGAGGCTCCAACCGTATTCATATGGTAGAGTATCTTTTTTCTACACTTAAAAATGTTTCATGGTGCATGTTAAGGAGCTCAGACTGTCAAGACTGGAAGATGTGTCCTATTTTGCATGAACGATAGTAGGTGCGCAGTGTTGGTTTCTGCTCCAGATTGCATTTGCCTAAGCTTTGTTGTTGCCCCTATGTACCTGTTACTACTTTGTGGTGAGAACATCTAAAATCTGTTCCCTTCACAATTTTGAAGCATACATTTTTGCTACTGTTGCCTCCATGCTGTGCAGTGATCCGTCGGGCTGATTCCTTCTGCATGGCTGCAAGAACAGGCTCTTGACTACCACATCACCCTCTTCACTCCTCTTCACTCCTCCAGCCTGTGGCAGCCAGTGACTCTACTCTGCTTTTTACCTTCTACCTACAAGGATAACAGTGTTTGTGATTCACTTTCCTTATTTCTAGTAATACCTACCAACCCTAGACTCCAAAAAGTCAAATTCATAAGGTAATGGAAATATGGATGCAGAGTAAGAAAGTGGATGCAGGCAGAAAACACTGTGCACAAGCTAAATGTCTCAAATCACTACCTAAAAGGTTTTCCAATTTTTTTTTATTGAGAAATATCTTTTTTATTGAGAACTATAGGAATAAATGTCTTTTGCTTTGCAATTCAGCACATACATAACGTACATTCATATAGTGACAAAGAGGGATTGTTGAGGAAGAGAGTTAAAGATGTGAATTATTGGGCCGGGATATAGCTCTGTGGCACAACATCTGCCTGGCAAGTGTGATGTCATGAGTTTGATTCCCAGTACAAAAAAAAATGTGAACTATTATAGTGGGAATCATAGATGGTAAAATAATTTAAAAACATTTAAAGCTAAAAGAGGGTAGATTTAGTGATCAATTGAGTTTATAGAATATGTAAAGGAAAGGGAAGAATTCAGAAAGAAGTGCAGGTTTCCAACAATGAGGGTTTGTTTTGGAGACCTGTTGTACATAATGAATTTGAAGTTAAATTTGAAAAAAGTGAAGTCTGGAATATAAATTTTACAATCATCTATCTTAAAGTAGCTAAGTTAGTCTGAGGATTAGAAGTGGGGGGCAGAGAATTTAATTCTCAAAAGTGAATCTTTGGGAACATAAATGTTTAGTGCATTATTGGAATAACAGAATCCAATAATAGTGAGCTCAGAAAATTAAGAGCCAGTGATGCCACTTCTGGAGTTCTTGGTAATGTTGGTCTTGTTGGAGGATAGCCAACAAGACCAACATTACCAAGAACTCCAGAAGTGTAGGAGTGGATCTGAGAAGTGGGGATGGGTCTCTGCAATCAAAATGTCATTATCCACCTTCAGGACTTTCCCAGTGGAGAAGGGGAGGATAAATGCAGGCTGGAGGCAAACAGTAAAGCAAAATTTGGGCACTCAACCAATACTGTGAAATATTTCAAAAAAATCAGCTATAAGGATTTGTGCAAACATATGTATATATGAATAGGTTGGGTGAAAAATTCAAATTAAAACAAGAGAACATTAGTGTGTTATAAGGGAAAGAGATTCCAGAGGAAAGAAGGGGAAGCTGTCTGAGGGTGAGGGCAGAGGTTATTTAGGGACCCACTTGTTCACACTGCAGCACATCTCCAGAAATGGAATGGAGCCAACAGGAGGCTGTAGACCAGTAGAAGGGAAACATTTGGAATTTTCAATAAATTATAAGTCTTTTGAATTGAGTTTTCAGCACAGTGACTTATCAAATAATCAGTTGATGGTGATTGATAGGTTTTGAAAGATCATTTGAACAAAATGTGAAGTTCTCATATTAGTTTTTATTTCAGATATGCTACAAATAAAACCAATACCTCACTCCCTCCCTCCCTCCCTCCCTCCATCCCTCCATCCCTCCCTCTTTCTTTTTTCTTTTCCATTTATATATTGGTACAGGGTCTCACTACACAGATTGGACTCCTAGTGATCTTCCTGTTTTCAGCCTTCCCAGTACTGGAAATACAGGCATGCGCCACCATACCTGCACTTGGTCGCCAGCTCAGCAAGTCCTGGGAGTGGGACCAGAGTGGCATACAGGGATCCAACCCTGGTCCCTGTGCTTGCCAAAGTAGGCGCTTACTCTGCTGAGCTATCTTGCCAGCTTGCTTTCTCTCTCTCTCTCTCTCTCTCTCTCTCTCTCTCTCTCTCTCTCTCTCT